CATCGCCAGGTGAGTATTTTAATAGACACCAGGGGCGTCCAGTAGACCCAACCATTCGTCGGCACGATATCGCTAAGCAGTAAGAACCAACGGATTTCTTACTACCGCTCTACTGACAAGTGAGAAGGAACACATGCTAAATAGAATTGATTTGCTTGTCCTCTTTGTGACAATAACCAACCGTTAACAACGTTTCAACTTGCGCTTGTCATAATTTTAGTTAAGTTGATACGTACTAACATCCTCTAAGCAAAACTTAGTATTAAGCGGCTTCACACGATAATATAAAAATATTCTATGACTTATGAAACGTTTCATGATATAACGTATGGTTATTATGTGAAAGTTACGTATTTTATTTTCATTTACGTTTATTATTGTACAGAAATTTGTTAAATCAGCTCATTCATACATCTTGTGCTGTATTAGTTTTTTAACATATTGTATTTTGGGAAATAAACGTATATACTGCTACTACTATACTACTAAAAAAAATCATTACTACGGTATAGACCTAGTCATTTGAGACAACACAAAGCAAACAAGCGAATATAGGTCTACTGCAAAAATCACTATTATAGTATACGGAGAGGTGACACGGCCACCTATGAGTCAGAAGCGGGTACTACCGATTCCTACGTCAGTAGTAAAAAACTACATATTTTCCCTTCATCTCTAAGGAGCCTCGGTAGCTTGGTTGTAAGTATGTCGAGCTAGCAACATGAGGCTCGCGAGTTCGGCACCGGTATCATGTAAAAAAACCTATAAAACGTCAAAAAAAAAAACCTATAAGATGTCAACTTGCAAACTAGGTAGTTTTTAGGGCGCAAACAGTCATTCCACGTTTGCTCCCTAAGATCGTTGTGAACGTCCATCTATGGAGGAATCACTCAACTAAACTACGCATTATTGGTTGCATAGTTTTGTGAGGCTGAGTGATCCGGGTCTGTAGTTTTTATCTCTGAGAAGAAATTTGGTTGAATAGCAAGATCGCATTTGGATGATTATGTGTATTGGTCTGCATGTGTATAAAATCGGTGATATTTGCTCTGAGAGAAAATCATTACTGAATATTTATGTATGTTATTTGTATGTTGTGCTTTCTGAAGAGAGGTTATATCAAAGTTATAAATTACGAAAGACTGAGGAAAATTACGGGAAATCATCACCGCGCCCGCGTTGTGTGTAATTACTGGTAGCATGTATATATGTAATTCGACAGTGTACAGTGAATATAATTATTTCTTATCTGTATCATTTTTGAAATTCAGCAAATCTGTATATGTGTATTTGAGACAAGAACCTAATGTAATTATCATCAACATATACAACTTACAGCTTATACCTCCAGTAATGCCATCTCAGAAGCAGATTTTACATCACATCAGAGCCAAAAATTGATAAAAAGCCTGATGACGTTTAGGCAACACGCGAAACTAAGTGCTAAGTTAATATCTTGTAAAAAAACCTACATAATGTCAAAAGAAACAGCATAATGTCAAAAAAAAAATCGGCATAATGTTACTTTTCGTGATAGCCCCTTGCCGAGCTCCGCCTCGGATGTGTAATTACGAGCCACGGACGTTTGTGTTGGTGTGTTGTCTATATCACGCACGTGGGTGTAATATTAACAATAAGTCCATCTCATCTCTGAAGCTGGTTTATTATACCAGTTACCAGTAGATGACTCGTGGAGTACAGTGTTGGTACTACGACGTCAGTAAAAAGGGACAAAGGTGGTCCAGTTGCCAGGCTTTGCCTCCCCACCACAACTACTACGGCATCTCTGATTAACAGCCCACTTCAACGAATCGGCAGGGGTATTATGTAAAAAATCTACTATGCAAATACTTCATTCCAACGTAGTTCTTTCATATATTGCAGAATTATTGTATAATCACTTGGAAAATAGTCTTCTTTCCTCTTTATAATATTATTTTTCCTTTGTTTTGAACATTTAATGTAACCGACACGAGCAGTCAAGTTTAAGAGAATCATTGCTAAACTTCGCTGCTTATGTCTCTCTGGTTGCTTGTATTTAAATAAAGTCGTTATTAGTATTATTATTATTATTATTATTATTTTATTATTATATCACATATTAAGCACATGCTAAATAGGTTATGTTTGCTTTACCTCTCTATAACCATAACCAACCGTACACAATATTGTTTCATGCTTTTTGTAATCATCAGTACGGTATAGGTCTATTTAATGGCGACAGACAACCAAAGACAAACAGGCAAAAAGGTTAACTGGAAAAATTAGTAGTGTATACTCGGGTACCGAAAGAAAGAGAGCAGCGAATCTTCTTGAATTCGGTGGGATATTCATCCTCCGTCTTTGTCAATTGAAAGGTACGCAGCGCCTGCAGTAATGACAAATCTGCTAAAGTAACAGTTCAGTGTTCAGTATGGTACAAAATATTACGATGTTAGGAGTTTAAACGGCATGTTTTTATTTGCAAACTTGGTGCGTATGAAGCTTTTCAGTCAACAAAAACAACTAGGCATCTCCAGCTAGGATCTTAATATCCTTGTTTTGAGACTGCAGAATATTATCCAAATGTACCAAAGTCCTTTTTCATTGATCACAGTGAAAAATGTAATTTACCTGAGATGGTAATGATTCCTAAATGCATGTACACCTGATAACAATGATTTTGGTGTTTCTTTGTACCGAACCATCCGCATAGGCAGAAGCCTAAATACCCTCAGTATTGAAGAAGATCACCTATGTGAATGAAGAAACGTTTACTTCGGTAAAATAAGTTCTATCATTCATGTGGTTTTATTGGACAGGGGTTTTTCGACATGTAAGCCACAGTGTAAGTTCCAGATGTTACATTAACATATGACGTTACATCTTTATCCTCAATCAACAACTTTATTTTTTCTTACAGACGCCATATTGGATTTTTGCATAGTTGAATATAACTTTTAATGCTGATTCTGAAAATGTATTATATAATAATAATAATAATAATAATAATAATAATAATAAATGGCTTTATTCGAAGAGACAATGCATACAAAAATAGTGTTCAACATAAAGGAATAATTACTTCGAATCTCAAGGGGGAGTTCACGACCTGCGTGCTCTTCCACTCATCCCTTGCTCTATTTTAAAATAGTGATAACAACGGTTACATGACTACTACTGACTATAGGAGAGCAGAAAAAAAAGTATGAGTACAAAAAACAAATAACACTAAAAATATACAACTGAAAATATTCCATCATATAATCATGAGATTCATCCAAAAAAGCTAAATGTTACAGTATATCAGTGAAATTAATTATACTTATCTAAAAGGAATCGTCTCAGAGCTGCCTTGAATTTGCAACCTTTCATATTTTGATTTGCTGGGGGATGGACTTGTATAATTTATAGATGTTGTAAGAGAAACCACGATCGAAAAAACATGTTCGATGGAATGGATCAGAAATATTCTGTTTCGAACGAACATTGACAGAATGAAGACCTTTCTCTAAAACATGATTTTTCATACAAATATGGCGCTGACTGCTCGACAAAATATATTGAGAAATATAGTGTTAATAGTTCTTATACCGAAATGTACCTCATACATGAATTTGAACACGCTGAATTCTACGTAGATATCGTATCAGCATCCAAGCATGAATAATAGACAGGAGCACCGTACGAAACTGGACAAAACCAACGTTTCGCATAGCATTCGTTTGATGTCTCTGCTAAGAAAGTGTCTATGAGGGTAAAGCAGCTTGAGACCCAAATTTTTAACAGAATCGCAGAACGGTATTAGAACATTATCTATATGTAGCGTCATATTGTTCATTATCTCTGACCATCTTCCCAAAAATTATTGCTGCTCATTTTTTTGGATTCAGTGACATTGAATGATCATTAGAAGTTTTAAATAGAGTGTCAAGATCAGCATTAATTTTAAACTCCGCCATTTGGCCACTCATCACCATGGAATGAAAGGCAACTTGAGTATCATCTGCATACATGTGAGGCTTACAGTATTCAAGGGATTTGGACACGCTGACTAGTATATAGCGTGAATAACAGCGGTCCGAGTATCGAACCCTGCGGCACCCCTTGATTTATTGTCCATTACTCGCGAGAGATTATTATTGATCTTTCACGTTGCATTCTATAGCTAAGGTAAGATTCGAATAACGATTTATTATGACCTGATACCCCACATGATTCAATTATTGCAATCAGAACGTCATGATTTATGGTATCAAATGCTTTGCTATAATCTAACAAAACTAGTGCAGTACAGTTACTGTTGTCATATCGTCTGTAATGTGTGCCAAAGCTGTAGTACAGCTATAATCTTGACGAAAACCTGACTGAGTACTAGGTAAAATTTTGTTTCTGGTTATGTGGTCACGTAGCTGTAATTCTATTTTTTCCACTAACTTTGAAAGGCCAGGTAAGATACTGATAGGGCGAAGAAGATCTGCAAGTTGTTTGACATCTTTACCCTTAGGGATTGGAGTTATTAGAGCTGTTTTCCAGGCGGTGGGATATTTTCCGTCTAAATAATACTATTAGTAATGTGGACGAGAAAAGGCAATATGTGGAATACACATTTTAAGTAAACGGACTGAAATTCCGTCACTTCCTGGCGAGGTATTTTTTATCCGACAGAGGGCTTGCAGAATTTGTTCCTCGGAGACCAAGGAAAATTCAAATTTATTATAGCATATGGCATTATTGTTATTGTGCGTAACTAAATCCTCATTACTATTGATTTATTGTGGATTATTGTCTAAGAATAAGTCGTTGATATTATCAGCACTTTGCAGCTGTGAGGGTATACCAGGATTATCTGATTTTATATCTAATGATCTTAGTTCTTGCCATAGTACTTTACTGTTTCTATTCTGAGTCAGTTGTGAAAAATATTTCTTCTTTCTTGTAATATGGTATGATCAGTTTGGTTTTTGAGCTGTTTGTAAGCCACGTCATTCTGCGCAGAAGGATTCTTCCGGAATTTTGACCTAGCTTTGTCTCTATCTCTCATTAGTTTCCTAGCATAGCAAATATCTAACAGAGAGAGCTTTTGTGGGTCACTGTGGAACTCATGCTCATTAGAATGATTAAAACTACGATAAGTACAGTAGAATGGTTCAGTTTTAGGCTCAGACTTGTATACCTGACATGAAATTAATTCGTGATTGGTCAAATCCAGCCCACCGATATTAGACGCGTGTATTATTGAGAGATCATTACATATAATAACATCAATTAATGAGCTGGATATTTGAGTTATGTGAGTTGGTTCGTTGTTCGAAAATTTGATGAAAATTAACGGTATTTAACATATCTAGCATATATCTTGTAGAAGCAGGTTGGGTATCCAAGAAATTTATATTCACATCTCCAACACATATCACTTTATCGGTCTGAATGGCGACCAGAGATAATGATTCTTCTAGCTCGTCTACAAAATTCCTATAGTTATAATGAGCAGGACGGTATACAACTCCGACAGCATATGAAACATCACTAAATTGCAACATTACCCATAACTGTTCGATATTAGAAGATGTATTCATTAGAGAAAACTTCAGACTGTCATGTATATAAAGAGCAACGCCTCCGCCCCTTGCCCCTCTATCAGCTCTCACAATACTATATCCAGGGATCTGAATTGCTGCAATTGTGACTGTCGAATTAAGCCAAGTTTCTGACATTGCAAAAATTCCATAATTATGGTATAAAATATGCTCTCTGAGCCGATTCAATTTAGGAACAACAGAACATACATTCAGATGACCAATTTTAAAGTACAGTAAGTATATACGAATAATGAAATAAAAAATAATCAATAATTCACGACAGCCACATTTAGTCAGATTGAATTTTCTCCACCCCCTTATCAGTTCTAGCGAACACATTTCCGTTGACAGTCCAAACATTTCTAAACCCGAACTTTTCTGAAGCTGGTTTCATGGCTTTTAAACGCTGAATGGTTAGGTCCTCTTTAACAACAATTTTAGTACCTTTCAGCATCTTTTTCTTGTTATATGCTGCGATTTTTATACAGTTATCTTTGAAGGAAACCAGAATGTGCCTTGGGTTACTACCATTCTGTCTTCCCACCCTGCATACTGCTGTTATTTCCGACCTATTTATATCGACTTCCATTTTATTTTTGAATATTTCATACAC